AGTGATTGCCTTACTTCACAAAAGGGCAAACTGAAGTCCGAGGTTAGGTCACTAGGTCAGAGTCCAGAGGTGCCGAATGGGGGAGCCAGAATTAGTCGTCAGGTCTCTACCCTCAGTCCATTGCACAGTGTTTTAGGATTTTTGGGCTACAAATACAATCTTCCTGATTAAAATTGATTTAAACAGAGCAGACCTTTATTTCCTGTACTTCATAGTTATGTGGTTTTTGGGTCTGCAGGTTTATGGTTCTAGCTTGCAGGGTGGGCTGTGTATGGCTACACACACTGGATTGTACAATTCCAAGGAGTAGCAATTCACACATCTAGTAACCCTATAGTTGGACTGTATACAACCTGCACATCTGTATGGAGTAGCTCTGGTTATGAGATTGAATTAGTGGCTTAGTGACGTCAGGGCAGCTTCTGTGTGGCTGGCTCTCTTTGCCTTTCCCTATTAATTGCAAGACGATTATAGCTGCTCTTACTTTATGTCATTACATGTCCACATTTAAGCAAAAAGGAAGGGGTGGATAAAAAGAAAGTGTTCTGCTCAAACTTACTAGGAGTAAAATCTTTCCAGAGCATCTAATGAACTTCTCTAATATCTTATTGCCCCGGGGGTGGGTCATGTGGTCACCTCTAGACCAACTATTGGCAGAGGGATGTAGTCACCATTGTTAGGCTTATGAAAGCAGGGCCCTGCTAGCAAGTCACAAGGGGTAATGGGTGTTGGAAATATACCTGGTGGGATCTGCCATAGATTTTACACTTAAGATGGAGCGATTTATTTTAATACATATAATGCTGCTAAAGGGAAAAATGAATGTTAGAAACAATTCAGAAAAGAAGACAGATGATAGGTAATTTGAAATGGGCAATTCAAGTTGATGTTTTCCTCAGCATAAGGCAGTGACTTCTGGATTTGCCTGACTTGATGAGAAACATGCCTTTTCTCTGGGGGAAGTGTATTCTCTTACCATTATGGCTTCAGCAGCTTTCCACATTTCCCATTAATGGGTTCAAGCACTCTGGAATGGCTTTGTTTTCTGGGTGAGTGGTTTGGAGCATGTGCATTTCCCTGCCTGTTTCTAGGGTGGGGGAAGGAAGAACAGATACTGCTTCTCTAGACATTAAGTAGGAAAATGACCACCACACTTAGTATAACAACCAAGCCGATTTCTAAAATGCGAAGCCTGTGAATCAGGAAATTTTAGGTTAGAGGTTCCAACCCTTGGGTTGCAGACCGATACTGGTCCATGGCGTGTTAGGAACCGGGCCTCACAGCAGGAGATGAATGGCAGGCGATCCAGCAAGTGAAGCCTCTTCTGTATTTGCAGCCACTCCCCACTAGCATCGCCTCCTCAGCTCCACCTCAGATCATCAGGCCTTACATTCTCATAGAAGCACCGGTCCTTGGTGCCAAAAAGGTTGGAGACCGCTGGATTAGAGGATACGGAAATATAAATGATACTATTTTGCCCTCTAGGGCTTCACAGTTTATTGCAGCTACTTGTGCATGAAAGTTAATTAAATATGGTGAAGTTATACAGTCACTCAAAGGAAACTGGAAGTTACACCTAACCTAAGGAAGCAGGGAAAGCCAGGAGCTTAGACCAGGTGGATTAAACCAAGGAGACGATGAATCACCTCTTTGTTAATATTAGGGTAGCTGCAGTGAAGAGGGAAGCAGTGATTATGAGGTGTGTGTCAGACCCTGTATTGGTGCCGTTATGTCTTTGGTCCCAGAGCCATGGAGGCACTGTGAACACAAGCCGAATGAGGGTTTATTGCCAAAGAATAGTCCTAGGGATACTCCCCAAACTTTCTAGTGTGAAATGTGATCCTCAGAGAAATATGTGGGCCTGCATATCCCTTACCAGGAGGAATAGGTTAATTTCATTGACAAGATTTCCTTTCAGAGGCATTGGCAAACTTTTTATGTGGCAAAGGGCCTTCCCTCCTTCTACCTGCTTCCTACAAAGCTGAGAGGGAAGAAAAGAGAAAGTGAAATTCCTAAAAATGTGGTGACTGTTGAACTGTAAAACATCTTTAGACTTGGACTTCTTTTGAATGAAGTAGTATCCATAAGATTTTTTTTGATTTTCCCCAAGTCTTTGAACCTGTTGGGACCGTAAGCAGGAGGGAAGTTGGGTGGGAGGAACGACCCTCTCTCTGAGCCTGATCCTTGGGGCTCCCTCACTTTTTTCTTGGCTGGAAGGCTTGGTAGGGCCTGTGAGAGGAGGTCCAGGACCTTGAGTCTGAGTGAAGAGCAGAGATGGGACATATTGTGTGACAGATGGTAGCTTCTCTTATCATGATGCTTTTTTGGCCACACGTGATCGAGGGCTTGGTGACCAGCTGTAATCCAGCTGGATACAGATAACACTGAGGGGGACTCCTGTGAACACTAATGTTCAGCCTGTCAGTTCATTGCTGAGCAGTGATTATGCAACTGGCTGTGTCTGGAACTGGGCTTGAGTTAACCTCTTACTGGTGGCAGCTTCAGAGATAAAGTCTGTGGGTTGGGAGTCCTTTGTTGAGACTCCAGGATAAGAGTCTTTGCTCTCAACCCTGCCCTCGCCTGTTTGCTTATGTTGGAATCAGGCAGCCTGGGTTCAGCTGGGAACCCTGAGCCAGGGTGGATGCTGTAGCCCTGGGGAACCTGAGCTCAGGGCAAGGCTGCCTTCATAAGGGAGAGGGTTAGTTTAGCTGCCATAATTATAGATATTCCTCCTCCACTCCTATGCAGGTTACCTCATAGGGACAGGGCTATTATTTATTTCTAGCTGCTTCCTCCCAGCTTGCTTATCATTGCACTGGGGGGATGGAGCCAGCTTCAACTTCAGTCCCTAATCTGCATTAAGCTGATGCCGAACTTATGGAAGAAAAGGTCAAGCCGGCTGTGTGGGAATTGCCCCATACTATAGAGCATTCATGGGATGGATCTGGTGAGGATGATGCAATATTCCTGGAGAGGAAGTGGTTTCGAATGTTTACCAGGGCTCTCATCTTTTCATACCTACCACCTGGCTGTAGAGGAGAACACCTTTGATGAAGTTTTCTTCTTGGAATTAAGGATTAATGTCAAGCTTGCATATAAAAGCATCTGGAGGTGTTACTTTCATACTTAGAGAGAAAGAGATTAGAAAAAATAAACATCTGTAGAGCACATGGTGACCTATCATGATAAGAGGTTTTGGACAATGTCTTCACCCCACCCCCTCCCCACAGTCCCTGCCACCTGTGACACTCTGGATCTTGCTTTTGTAACAAAGTAAACACTGATTTACTTTTTTTTATTTTAATTTTTTATTATTTATTTATTTAAAAAAGATTGTTTATTGGGGTAACATTGGTTAATACAATTATATAATTTTAAGGTGTACATTATAATTTAACATCTGTATATTCATATGTGCGTTTACCACTTAAAGTCCAGTTTCCTTCAGCTACCATATATTTGACCACCTTTACCCCGTCCACCTACCCTCTACCTCCCCCTACCTTCCCTCTGGTAACCACCTGTCCACTGTCCATGTCTATGAGTCTCTGTTTGTCCTGTTCCTTTGTTGCTTTTAGGTTTATATCCCGCATATAAGTGATATCATGTGGTTTTGAACTTTTTCTGTCTGGCTTATTTTGCTTAGCATGATTATCTCGAGGTCCATCCATGTTGTTGCAAATGTCAGTATTTCATCTCTTCTAATGGCTGAGTAATATTAGTAGACACTGATTTAAACATGACTCTTTAGTTTGGGGAACTAAGAGTCCCGTATTAAAACATGTAAAAAATGTTCTTAAGAACTGTAAAGTGTTAAAAACTTATCAAATAAATAGATGGGCTAAACATATTCTAAGTGAAAAAAAGTAAACAACGCATATAGAAATGTGTGCATCGTCTCTTCTTAACCTGACAGGGCCAATGCGTGGCTCTTTTCAGTGGTTCCTGTACTTCATATTCTGTTTAAATATGCTACAGCATGTGCACCATTTTGCTACTCATTAATTTCCTAAGAGCCTTACAGCCTAGAGGTCATCTGGTCTGCTGCTTTCCTGGTTCTTAGAGAAACATTTTTTTTCCCCTCTACTTCCATGTCATGAGGGCCCTGGAAGGGCAGTCTCTGTGGCCCTCTGTAGTTTTATCCCCTAGAGGAAAAGAACGATCTGTTCTGTCATTTCTCCAGGCCTGTCCAGGTAGTGGTGAGAACCTGGAGACAGACAAGCCAGGCCGTAGTTGCTGAAAGCTGATGGTACACAATCTGTGATCCTAGGCTGAACCCAACCGGCAACAGGAAGTTCCACTTCGTGTCCTACTTTAAAGCTCTTTGCTAGGAACACAAAGTGAATTCTTAGTTTGTATTGGTTAAGCTCCAAGGACCAGTACATGTTGGAGAATTGAAGTGAGCATGGTCAGGTACAAGGAAGCTGCACTTTCACCACCTGATTCCAAATTGTCCATCTCCACTCTTAAACAAGATACAGCAGTAACCCAGAGCTAGAATTTCAGGGGAATGGGTAATGCTGGTAAAAAATGTACACACAAGTAATGCAAAACACACTTGTATTGATATTAACATGCAGAATCCTTTGTCGAAGAGTGTTTTTGTAGTCCAAAGATTTAGACCCAAATTGTATTCAGAGTTCTATTTGGAGTATGTATGACTTTAAAATGTTACCTAATGGTTTTCCGAACCTCTTTCTTCATTTATAAAATGAGACTATCAGGCTTACTTATCTAAGTGGATGATTGTGAGAATTAAATGAGGGAACATGTATGGGCTGATAGAGTTAATAGTTGCTAACAATGATACACTTCCTATGGAATGTTATTTCTCGAACCTTGTATTTTTCTAATATGTCTCTAGACCTATAAGTCACAATTCATTCTTTTTTCTTCTTATGCAAAAAGTAAAATTTGGCTTAAAAGTATGAATGGGTTCTTAGAATCACTCCGTTTTGTAATAGATGGCTCAATTTCTCACCTGTTCTTTTACCCAACAGTGTGCCATGTAAAAAGTGTGTCGTGGTTGGTAATGGAGGAATTTTGAAGAATAAAACATTAGGAGAAAAAATTGACTCCTATGATGTAATAATAAGGTAAATTTCTCATTTGCTAAACTGGCATTGTTTCAAAAGAACGTGGTTTCCTACTTTAGTACAGCTGTGTTTATAAGGAAGACGAGTCGCTTTGATATTTTTAAGTACATTACACAACCTTGTCTCTCCATTGTTGACTAGAATAAGCCTAGATTTCAGTGCATTCATTTAGCACATATTTATTAGGTCCCTTTGATATGCCAGGCACAGTTCTAAACACAGGGGATATAGCAGTAAATAAGAACAATGTTCATGTTTCCTGTGGAGCTTATATTCTAACGAAGGGAAGAAAACAGTGATTAAATAAACAGGGAAATATAATAATAAATGTCATACAATTAAAAAATATATGCTAGAGAATGATTGCGTGGCTAATTTAGGACGGATGACCACTTTGAAGAGACATCTAAGCTGGACTCAGTGACCATACAATTCTAGCCATGTGAAGATTTAGGGAAGAGTGACGGAGGCAGAGAGAAGGTTTCCTGCAGGTCCTCGGGAAGATATGATCGTGGGTTTGAGAGCAGCTTTAAGAAAACCCGTGAGGTAGAAGGGCAGGATTGGGGAGAGAGGTGCAATCAGAAGCTGAAGAGGTGGGCAGGGAGCAGGCTGTGTAAGCTGGGGTTAGACTTCGTAAGCGAGGACTAGAGCTTGGATTTTATTTTAAGTACAACAGAAAACTTTTGGAGATTTTCAAGCAAGAGAGTAATTTGATCTGGTTATCTTTAAAATATTCTGGCTGTGGCATGGACAATGGAATATGAGGGACAGAGGCGAAAATGAGGAGGCCAGTTAGGTTGCTGTATCCAGGTGGATGATGGTGGCTTGGAATGGGATTATTATGGCAGAGGAGGTAGGTGGATAGATTGAGACATGTTTTAGAGATATTATTATCAGTATTTGTTGACATATTAGTTGTGAGCAGAGATGGGAATAAAGGAACCAAGGAAACCTCCTAGGTTTTCAGCTTGAGAAATTGGCTGGATAATGGTACCATTTATTGAGTTGGGAATACTAGGGTAGAACAGGTTTAGAGGAGAATCTAGATTTCTGAGTGAACATGTCAGATGCTTGTTAGATTTGCAGTGGATAAGTCAGTAGGCAGTTGGATAAACAGGTTAAGGTCTTGATGGGAACAGCCTATGAGCTGTATTTAAACCATGGACTAGGTGAGATTTCCCAGGGAGAAACTGAGAGAGAAAACAGGGCCCAGGACTAAGGCTTAGAGTAGTCAACACTTAAGAGGTTGTTAAAGAAAAAGGAATACAAGAGATGCAGAAATTCACCAGGGAAATAGGAAGAGTCAGAAGGTGATCACAGAAGCCAGAGAGAGAACAGTGTTTTAAGACAGAGGGAGGAATCAACCATGGCCAATGCTACTGAGAGGTCATACAAGATAAGAAGAGTTCACCATTGAATTGACAACTTCAAGTTCATTGACACTGTTGACAAAAGCAGAGTTAGAAACACATAATGTGTGGAGAAGCCCAACTGGAGTGGGTTGAGAGAATGACAGGTGAGAAAGTGGAGAAACCAGTTTATGCAGCTCTTGAGGAATTTTGATGGGGAGTTGGGAAGTGAGATGGTAGCCAGAGATGATTATGGAATCACAGGATTTTGCTTTGTTTGCTTTTGTAATGGTAGATTCTAGAGCATATTGGTATACTGATGGAAATGAATTGCCGTGATAAAGAAAGAGGGGAATGAGGTCCAGAGCACAGGTGTTGATCATCTATAGTGGAAAGGAAAACTTAATAGCACTTGAAATGACTCAATGTTGTGCCCACGGCTTTTTCCAACAAGAGCTTGCTGTAGTTCTAGGTGATCAGATTTTAGACAGCTATAGGTAAAGAAATTTGTGTCTCAAAATTGTTTTGTGGGTAAATTTTCACAGCTTCGTAAACATGGATAATTAACAGAAAATAAAGTGACCTCACTATGCAGAAACGCGGGTAAATTTGTAACCTGGCAAAACCCTCATGCACTGCCAGGTCATCCTAATGCACTGCCCAGTGTGAAGCATTCCCACTTTTCAAAAGATTATTCTAGCCATCCCAACATACACAAACTTACCCCAGGTGATGACCTTTTGTCGACCTTTCAATGAGAAAACAGAAATGTCCTAATTTTCCCACCGCTCCATTTTATGTGCATTAGGATGACCTGGCAGTGCATGAGGGTTTTGCCAGGTTACAAATTTACCCGCGTTTCTGCATAGTGAGGTCACTTTATTTTCTGTTAATTATCCATGTTTACGAAGCTGTGAAAATTTACCCACAAAACAATTTTGAGACACAAATTTCTTTACCTATAGCTGTCTAAAATCTGATCACCTAGAACTACAGCAAGCTCTTGTTGGAAAAAGCCGTGGGCACAACATTGAGTCATTTCAAGTGCTATTAAGACTGTCGTACATTACACAGAGTCAGTGGCAAAGGGTAAAACAGTATTTATTCTCCCAGAGGACACTGTTTTGGAAACAAAGCATTCCTTTTAATAGCATGCCTTCACAGTGTGTGCATAAATAGTGCATGTCTAAGTTTGAGCATACACAAACTCAACAATAGATCCTTTGTGGTTCTTCAGTTCACTCTAGCAATAGACATTCATTTGGTTGTGGTTGGGTACATCCCAGCAATTTTACATTGTTAATTTATTTCAGAGTGTAACAATTTTGATGGGTCTTCACCTTAAATGTGACTCTTGCCAGTCAGTCACTTAGACACACGTCCATATGCTACATGATTATGAAACTTTGGGCAAGTGACTCTTTCTCTGGACATCAGGGCTTTACCTGTAAATCCAAGGGGTTTTGTTGAGATTTCATCCACGTTCTCTTTTAACTCTAGTGTTTTGTGGTTCTTAAGTTCCCATTTGTTTTATTTAGCTTTCAGTTTTCGTGGAGGTAAGACTAAATGACTAGTGACCCCACAATTAATTTTCAAATACGAACAGAAGTTTCTGCCTTTGATCAAACAGCTATTTCATGAAAGGGAATTATTTCCTTGGTTGTTATGTGTGAATGATTGATTGCTTCATGTCTTTAGAACACTGGATGTTTAGAACACTGATGATGTTTGTCCAACTTTGAAACCTTTGAGTATTGTGATGGAAATGGCTCACTTGGTCTACATATTTTGTGTGTTTTACTATCCACAGAATGAATAGTGGTCCTGTTTTAGGACACGAAGAGGAAGTTGGGAGAAGGACAACCTTCCGACTTTTTTATCCAGAATCTGTTTTTTCAGATTCCAAACACAATGATCCAAATACTACAGTGATTCTCATTGCTTTTAAGCCACACGATTTAAAGTGGCTGTGGGAATTGTTGACAGGTGGCAAAATAGTAAGTCGGCAAAATTGATCTGCCTTTTAATTACCTTCAGGTTTTTTTTTCTTTTTGAAAAGACAACCACAATGGTTTATTTTCTATATTCTTTATTTCAGAACACTAATGGTTTTTGGAAGAAACCAGCCTTAAACCTGATCTATAAACCATATCAAATCAGAATATTAGATCCTTTCATTATCAGAACAGCAGCTTATGAACTACTTAATTTCCCGCAAGTGTTCCCCAAAAACCAGGTACGTATTTTCCTTTGTACTCTTTCAAACTAAAGATCTGGCTGGAGGAGGATAGAGGAACATTGGCGGGTTTGGAAAGTGAGAACCACAACTCAGAAGGTGGCTTCTGAGGGCCTTGTCTGAGTTAGTAAAATTAGATATCTGGATATTATCTTTGTTTTTCAGGTTGCAAAGAAGAGCCTTAAGTGGAGGCTTTTTCCTGCCCTTGTGAGGCCCTTCTGGGGTCTCCTTCTGCATGCCGAAATGGCTCAACCTCATCTTCAGTGTGCTGAAGTGGGGGTGGGGGTGGAGGTTAGGGGGTTGAGGGACAGGCTGTGTTCAGAGTAGCAAGACTGGTTTCAGGACAAGTGCAGCTTAAAAAGAATGGTCTGAAGCAATCTGTGATAGCAATATCACAGGAAAACTAGAAGAAAGGTGAGAAGTAGTCCAGAAATATTTCTGCGGTCACAGAGGAGACACTGGCACTGAATTCTCAGAAAATGGTAGTTACAGCAATACTGACAGTTCTTGATGTTTTAAATTTTTTGGTTAAAAGGAATCTTATTGACTTTGACTTTTGTTTGTCTACATTCTCTAGAAAACAATAATGTCTAGATCTGCACAGTAGCAGAGATGTTTTTCATTTGAAGCTTGAGTAACCATATACCATGATATCTCAGCTGAAATGAGGATTTTTTCTCTTTTTGTAAACATGGAAAATCCCTAGAAAGACAAATCACGTATCTTTTCTTTAGCATGCTAAAAAAAACTGAAAGTATTACACACTTAAAATCAACTTACAAAAGATTAAAAAAAGACATCCTTCTCTTCCTTCAGTAACGCACATTATCTCCCAAGTTTTTTTGCCTTTCATATCCTTCTAGACTATTTTCTATGCATTTACAAACACATACACTTTTTGTTTGTTCAGTACAATTGCGATTATACCATAGGTATTGTTCTGCTATTCCCTCCCCCATTTAATGATTCCTCTATTTAGAGACATTTAGGTTTCTATCCAGCTTTTTCCTCTTTAACATAGAAATGCATGTGCTTATAGAGATTTTCTGCACACTGGTGTGATTTCTGTAGGATAGATGTCAGAAAATGGAATTCCCAAGTCAAAAAACATAAGTATTTTAAAATTTAAACCCAATTTCTTAGTAATCTTCGGAGGAAAAGACAGCTTCCGAATGTGTTCTATGTCTTTTCAGCTCTAAGTAGTTGAGATCAGATTTCCCTCTTGCCTTTTGTTTTAGGTAGTGTCTTTAACTCCAAAAGCACAGGAAGACCCTGATCTTACTTAGAGATGGTACAAGAATTAGTTGTAACTAAAGTTCTAGCAGACTATGATGTCCCAGAAGCCAAATGAGGACACAGCTGTATTTCAGAGAGGTCACCCATGTCAGATGCCATCCAGAGGTTGAGCACAAATAAACAACCCTGGTTCTGGAAACGTGGAGGTTATGTTTGTGATATGGACAAGAATAAGAAAGGAAGAAAGCCTGTTTGAATTGGATTAAAGAGAACATGGTACACAAGCAAGTGGAGGCAAGTCTTTAATGAAGTTTTGCTAGAAAAGGGAGCAGAGAAATGGTTGGAAGAGAACATGGGATCAAGGAAAGTTGCTTTTTTTTTTTTTTTTTAAAAGATGTGTTTGTATGCTGAAGAGAAATATTGATGAAGAGGGGAGAAAGTAGATAATTGTGGAAGATAAAGGAGTTGAGAAAACAGAAGGGATAAATATAGAGTACTAGTGGAGAGGTTGGCTGTAGGTAGAAACGGGCATCTCATACATGAAAGAAGAGCACTGAAAATATGGGTAAAGATGAAGGTAGATTTGGAGTTGGGAAGATGATGTAGTTCTTATGCTTCTTGTGTGACTGCTTCTATTTTCTTAGACAAATGAGTTAAATTGTTAAAGCAGGGAGGAGGCTAGGGCTGTTGGAGGATGGAACAGTATAAAATTATCTTTGAGAGTAGGAATGGAAATATACTAGGGGAATGTAATTAGATTGCTGGACCTACTAAATGCCCACTTGAGACTTTGGTCATAAATGTAATGCGTGACCATGCAAGTATGTTGTTTTCTCTTGCTCTGTGTTCTGCTGCTTGGGTGTGTGTTTAACCAGGATTAAGATTCTGTCAGGTGATAGATAATACAGGTTCTGTGGGTGATAGGTATGGAAGAAAATTGAAGGTCTCCATAAGGGAATGATTATAATGAAGTCTTCTGAGGTGTGATGAAAGGGAGTATGGGACATGAAGTCGTATAGGAGAGGGGAAAAGCGTTGAGATCAGTTAGGGTGGATGACTCCTAGGTTTTTAACCCAACCATTAACTTTCTTCTCTAGCAAATGGCGGAGGCTTGTGGTGGGGTCACAGTAGTCATGGGGTAAAGGAAAACTTGTACAAAAACCTGTTAGGCTTCCAGATGAGCTTGTCTCCTGCTGTCTACTCGATTTTATTGTGCTTTTTTTTTTTCTTTTCCTCAAAATCATAACATGTAATTTCCATGGGATTTGTAAGAAACATTTAATCAAAAGGAAATCTTGAATTGTTAAAAGTTTAAGATATATTTTGTTTGACTTTAAAAGCCATCCTACTCAGAATGAAAACTTTGAATGCCAAGACCCTCATCAAATATCTATTATAGCGTTTTTGAAATATATGTATATGTGAAAGGGGTATGTGATTTAAAAAAAAAAAATGATGATACAGTTGAGATTGTGACGTTACTATGTATACATCCGGAATCTTTGTTTTCTAGTTAGGTCCTTACCAGTACAATTTATCACTGAAGTTAGTTGGTTAGTCTTTC